GGGGTTGTGAGGGGTAGAGACCATCAGTGTAGTCACAAGATATGACAAGCAAGCTTGAGAGCATCAAATCACTCTAAAGGACAGGGAACACAGACCACATCCCTCTCTAAACAGGTGTCAGAATCACAGTCTTAGGCTGAGAACCATGACAGAAGGGTTTTGTGTGGCTAGCACTTTAGTTCTCCACAGGCTTCATCATTACCTATTTATTGCTTTATACCTGGTGGTACCTGCCTGACCCTTAAAGTAATTTGAATTTGCGACCTATGCTAGCAAAAAATGCCAGCACTTTAACTCAATAAGACTATCCTCACACAGAAGAGCGGGGGCCAGAGGCAGAGAGCTCTGGGCTGGAGATGGGTGCCTCTAGGTTTTTCTACATCAGAGTTTCCTCTGGGCTCCTCAACTGCCTGCTTGTGCAATTAGAAGATGTCCTTCTCTGAACAGTTTTCCCTCTAAAATCTAGAGGAAAGTCTAGAGCAGTGGTTCCACATCCCATCCACCACCACTATGCCCCACCACACCTTGGAACCTCAAAGATAGCAGAATTCCAGAGATGACCCCACATATTTTCAAGAGTAAAATGGTTATCACATTTATTCCTAACAAATGCTTAACTTCTCTTTAAACGAATGGGTTTAACACTTTTAAAATATAAAGGGCACTGTATAGATGTGTATGATGAATAAACATACTATGATACAATTGGTATATGTGCTATCATTTGTGTACATAATCACAAATTGTTTGATAGGCAAAAATCTTTGAAAACAATCAAATAAGACAGAAAAAAATCGAAGTTGTTCTTGGTGACATGGTGGGAAAGGGCATCTTTGGTCATCACTGAAGTCCTTTCAGATCCTAGAACCCACAAATGTGAGTAGATGCAGGTTGTGGGAGAAGTCCTCTTGGACGGGGATGGAGGAGAGCTTATCTTTACGGAATATCTTCTGATTATCAGGCTCAAACTGGTAAACTCATAAACATCCCCAGATGTAGAATGGTGACTGTCTCCATTTTATAGGTTCATTCTTAGAGGTTAGGTGCCATGCTGAGGTTACTCAGCTAGAAGGCAGCAGGGCTGGCACTTGAACGTGGGTGGAATTGCTCCAAAGCCAGGTTTGAGGTGGGAGAGGTGACTCGGTCCCCTCAAGGAGCTTTGTGGCTAGGTCTCTGGCGTGGACGCAGCAAAAGCACTGGATGACTACGGGAGAGTGAGAGGGCCCAGGGATTTGGGGGTGAGCCAGTTGGGGGCGGGGCGAAGCTCACTCCAGGCATATTTGAACTAGTTGGGTCGTCCTGGGGCGGGGGGCTGATAGTCGTCTTCCAGAGCTCCTCTGGACCCATGTGGGGTCTTGGCGACTCGCAGAGGCACCCAGGGGTTCGCGGAGAGGAAAGGGGCGAAAAGCAAGGCTGGCCCAGAGCAGAAATAGGAGAGAGAAAAGGGGAGGGGAGAAGGAGAGGGAAGGGGGCGGGGAGTTCTTCCTGGGGCAGGAACCCGGGCCCCCCTTGGCAGAGCCCGCCCGCAAAGCGATTCTGCAGATGGAAGGAATTAAGTGGAAGGGGGAGGGTCCAAGAGTGATAGTGAAAGGAGGGAGGGAGAAGTGTGTGTGCGTGTGTGCATATGTGTGTGTGTGTGCGTGTGTGTGTGTGGTGTCTGGATCTGGGTGGGGAGAGGGAGAGACAGAAACATATCAGACTAGAAATGAAAAAGACGAGAGAGAGAGAGAGAGAGAGAGAGAGAGAGAGAGAGAGAGAGATAGAAGAAAATCAAAACTAGTTCTCAGAAAGGGAAGTGAGCCAAGGAGAAAGGCGAGGGACACGGGAGATACTAGTCTGAGAGAGAAGACAGAGTATGAGAAAAGTGGGAAAATAGGAAAAAAAACGAGTGAAAATGAAATAATTGGAGAGGATTTGGAAAGAATGAGAGAAGAGAACGGAGAGCAGAGGTAGATGAGCTTGATCAGGCCAGGGCTGTCCTGACCACTCGCAGCCTCTGCGAGCAGGGCAGGCGGCGCTGGGGGCGGGGTGGGGCTTGGAAGGGGGCCGTCCAGGGGCGGGCCAGCAGAGAACTGCATTTGTAGAGAGCCCTCATTTCCCCGCTCGCCGCGCTCCCACTACTTCATATTCAATGAGACAGCCAATGGAGGGCAAAGACGGTGCCAGAAGGGGCGCGGGCTCCGTGGGCCCCACCCCGGGAGCGGCCACCAGAGGGGTCAGCACTGAGGCAGATAGCGGATCGCGGGGCGGGACGGGGCGGGGCGGGCGGTGCGAAAGGGGCGGACCCAAAAGTTTCCTGCCCAAC